TGGATAACGTTGAGAAGAATGAGAATTCCAGAACACTTAATTCACTAGAAACCTGTACATAGATCAGGAGGCTGTTGTTTGAACAGAACAAGGGGATACTTCGTGGTGTAAAATCAAGAAGGGTATGCATCAGGTTATATCCTTTCACCATACTTATTCAATGTGTATGCTGAGCAAGAAGCTGGATTATATAAAGAAGAATGTGCCATCAGGACTGGAGGAAGACTCATTAACAACCTGTGATATGCAGACGACACAACCTTGCTTACTGAAAGTGAAGAGGACTTGAAGTTCTTAATGATGAAGATCAAAGACTACACTCTGCAGTGTGGATTACAGCTCAACATAAAGAAAACAAAAACCCTCACAACTGGACAAATAAGCAGCATCACAACAAATGGAGAAGACTGAAGTTGTCATGGATTTTGTTTTACCTGGAACCACAATCAACACCCATGGAAGTAGTGTTGTTGTTATTGTTATGTGCCATTGAGTAGGACCCGAGTCATAGCAACCCCTCCTTGGGTTTCTGAGGCAGTATCACTATGGAAGTAGATCGCCCCATCTTTCTTCCTAGGAGTGGCTGATGAGTTTGAACCACCAGCCTTCTTAGTTAGCAGTCAAATGCCTTAGGCACTATGCCACCAGAACTCCCCCCATGGAAGTAGCAGTCAAGAAGTAAAATGTCATATTGCACTGGGAAAATGTGCTGCAAGAGACCTCTTTTAAGTGTTCAGAAGCAAAGATGTCACTTTGAAGACTAAGGTGCTCCTCACCCAAGCCAGGGTATTTTCAATCACCTCATGTGCATGTGAAAGCTGAACAATGAATAAGGAAGACTGAAGAAGAGTTGAGGCCTTTGAATTGTATTATTGGTGAAAAATCCTGAAAAGACCATGGACTGGCAGAAGAATGAACAAATATGTGCTGGAAGAATTGCAGCTGGAATGCTCCTTGGAAGCAAGAAAGGCCAGATTTTGTCTCACCTGTTTTGATCATTGTTGTCAGAAGGGACCATTCCCTTCAGAAGGATATCATGCTTGGTAAAGCCAAGGGTCAGTGAAAAAAGGGAAGACTCTCAATGAGATGGCTTGACATCTTGGCTGTAGCTGTGGGCTCAAGCATAGCAAGGACTGTGAGGATGGCAAACGACCGGGCAGTGTTTCGTTCTGTTTTACAGAGGGTTGCTATGGGTGGGAGTTGACTGGACGGCACCTAACACAACACTGAAACCTTCACATGTAGTTTGTTCCTTTCATTTGTCACATTAACATATCCTGCCTGATTTTTATGTTGTTGCTGTTGTTAAGTGCCATCAAGTCATTTCTGACTCATAGCGACCCTATACACAGCAGAATGAAACACCACCTGGTCCTGAGCCAGCTCCATGATTCTTGCTGCACATGAGCTCATCGCTGCTACCACCATGTCAGCCCACCTCGTTGAGGGCCTTCCCCTCTTTCGTCGACCCTCCACCTTACTAAGCATGACATCCTCCTCCAGGGAGTGGTCCCTTCTGTCTACATGATCAAAGTAGGTGAGACAAAATCTGGCCATTCTCGCCTCCAAGGAGCATTCTGGCTGT